CATGAACCATGACATTGACCTTTTCTCTCTAGCCCCGCTAGAGAAACAAAAGGTCACTAATCTGGGGGTGATAATGGACCCGTCCTTAAAACTCCACAGTCACGTAAACATGATGGTAAAATCCTGTTTTTTTCAGCTGAGACGGCTGTCTAAGCTGAAGCCTATACTCTCCAAAAAGAACCTTGAGACAGTGATCCACGCCTTCATAACATCTAGGCTTGATTACTGCAATTCACTTCTGTTTGGAATCAGTCAGTCCTCCATTGCTCGTCTACAACTGGTCCAAAATGCTGCAGCCCGATTTTTAACTGGTACAGGCTATAGAGAGCACATCACGCCAGTTTTGGCCTCCCTGCACTGGCTACCCATTCACCTTCGGATCCATTTCAAAATTCTCATGTATGTTTTTAAATCACTGAACAGTTCCGCCCCATCCTATCTCACTGATCTTCTGCAGCCATATGTCCCACCGCGCTCTCTGAGGTCAGCAGACCAGATGCTTCTCTCAGTCCCAGAAACCCGTAGTAAGCTCAGGGGTGACAGGGCTTTCTCTGTTGCAGGTCCACGACTGTGGAATGAGTTGCCACTGAGTGTCCGGCAGGCTCCCACACTCTCAGTCTTTAAGTCTCGCTTGAAGACCCACTTCTATTCGCTTGCCTTTAACACGGTGTGATTTGTTTTGGCCCGGTCTGTTCTCTACTCTGTTGGCCATTTTAGTTAGCTTCTGCTGCTATTTGTATCTGTATTTCTATTTTATGTTTTCCTGTCTGCTGTGCATGTTTGTGTTCTTTTGTACAGCACTTTGGTTGGCCTTGTTGCTGTTTTAAGTGCTATATAAATAAATTGGTATGGTATGGTATGGTATTCTCATTGCTGTGGAAGATTAGCCCCACAACAGCTGTCTCATCAGCAAACTCCATTCAAATGTTGCTGTGGTGCAGTCACTCGGAAAGAACAAAAACCTTGATCCAACAGTGCTCTTAAACTATAGACCTATTTCTAAAAATTCCTAAAATTTTAGAGAAAGTTATTTTTAATCAACTTAAAAGATTTTTAACTGCCAACAGCATTGGTGACAAATTCCAGTCTGGTTTTAAATCAGGCCTCAGCACAGAGACAGCCCCTTTTAAGAGTTTTTAATGATCTTCTTTTGACTGCTGATTCAGGAAGATCTGCAGTTTTAGTGATTTTAGACCTTTCTGTTACCTTTGATACTGTGGACCACAACATCTTGTCACAACTTGAGCAGGTGGTCGGTATCAAAGGTACAGTTTTATCCTGGGTTAGATCCTACCTGACTGACAGGAGTTTTCCGTTCATTTAGGGGAATGTTCATTATCTGCAGCTCAACTCATCTGTGGGGTCCCTCAAGGTTCTATTTTAGGTCTACTGCTTTTTACTCTTTACATGTTGCCTTTGGGGTCCATTTTTAGAAAATATTTTCAGTATTCCTCACTTATTATTCAAGTTATCAAGCTCACAAGACTGACGGACATTTGTGGCAGCAGCCATTTAGGATTTTGATGTGGCATCCCACTTTTCAAAAGGAAACTTTCTCATGCAATTCTTGACAAATCAAAATATAATACAACTAAAGTAAGAATGTTTATGTTCATAGCTAATTTTCATTAGTTAAATTTGTACCCTACCAGACATGTACTAGACAAAGCAGAAATCTGTGATCCTGAGACCAAGTAGCTTCCATTTTTACTGCTTCTGCAGTCACAAGATGATTTGCATTTATTTTCCTGACTATGCATACTCTGCCTATTAAGAAGAAAACCAAGGTCTGCAAACAAACTTTCTTTGTTTGCCCTTGTATGTATGCTGGACCACATGGGGTTTTATGGTTATATATTTTTTTCAGCTCAACTCAGCACTTCTGTGAGTATTTAATCAGTTTATACACTGTAACAGAAAGATATGTTCATCAAACAAGTATAATTTTCAATAAATAACCTTATTGACGCAAAAATTTAGATGGCTGTTATATAAATGCAGTTACAAAAAGTGAGATTTGCTGGAAGTAGTATGTGAACTATGAAGCAACAACAACAAAATCTGAGATTAGAAGAAAAGGCTAAAAAAAATCACGTCTTATTTACATCACGCATCTCTTCACAAAGAGCAGATCTCAGGAGACCAATCATCTGGATTCTCGAGAAGCTGGAAAAAGTCTGAAGGCAGTTTCATTCCAGTGCAGTATGAGGCTTGAGTATAGCTAACTAGTTCAGTTTTACCCCTGAAGTGGTGAGTCTTCCTGTACAAAATGTTACAAAAAGAACAGTTGTTTTGGCTTTTCACGACTGAGGTCAGAGGTTTCCCCTCTTTTAAATATGTTTCCAACAAATGAGACATGATAAAATGCCCATATACCACTTCAAATGGCATTTGTTTTAATTTTTCTCTTTTAAAAGGTAATATTTGAATATAAACACTTCAAATTTGCACATTAGCTCAGAGAATTATGTGGCATGGACATGTGATTGTGGTACTTGTGGCATTCAGTTTCTGAAACTACATATATTTAGGAGGTCTAGAAACACTGCAAGTGGGAAATTATTCAGCTTATTTGTTTTGGGAGATGTAAAAATTATCTTTTTCAGATGAGGAAGTGAAAAGCTCATGTGTACAAATCCGAGGGCATAATAATGAAACTGCATGTCTAATACACCTTTAACCAAAGGAGTTTGTGCCTGAGTGAGATTTTTTATTCTGTTGCCTAACAATTTAGTCCTTTTGTAAAATAATTGCTGCTTTTATTTTTGTTTACTACTTTGTTAGATTCAGGCAGCAAATCTACTTGGGTAAATAACAATAAAAAAAAAAAACAGGTTGGCATGCTTTTTTTCTCATGATGGGCTGGTTAAAAGTTGTCTCATCATTTCATATGTTCCTGACCATGCCCTGATGATTAAATATATCAACAAAATAAAAATAAAAATTAAATTAAAATATTGTGTATTAAATAACTATGAATTACAAGTAAAACATTTAATGCTTAATGTCCCTTTCAAGACTTAAGTGGCTCCAATTTAAGATCACTTCACCACTTGTTCTTGTTGAGGTAGGAAGCTTTTCCCCTCCCCTCCCTCTCTGCTTTGCTTTGCTGCTCTGTCTGTCTGTGAAACTGCTTCTGAGACTTTCTTGCATATCTTCCGAACTATAATTATGGACTTGATTTGATCAGTTGGTCCCTCAACTCAGTTTACAACATTTTTTCGAAGAGAAGACAGGCTTTAGGCTAGCCGATTTGCCCTGTTGGCACACACGCAGCTGGATATCTCATCGACTTGAAGACTCGATGATGTGTCTATCTCTGCTGCCATTTGTGGATTTTAAGGACGCATATTTAATTGAATTTACAATAACTGGGTCCTGCTTTTTGGATTCAGCTGGTTGCTGGTTTTATCTATAATCAAGGAAGTCGTCTGCAGAAAATTGGGACCCAATCACATGCTTGCCTTTATGATGGCTTGGTTTTTGCATCAAGTACCCAGACTCAAATGCTTTGGGCAGAATGGATCAGAGCTCGGGGATTTTACTCGGGCACGTTCCATCAGTGTGGCCATGTAATTTGGACACTTCGGAACTGTTTGGACCAACACAGACTCAATGTAGATGTCATTAATTTCCGCCTGTCCTCAAAACAACTGTGTATTTATCTGAATTTGGCTCCCCTGGCTGGCCTTGAAGGCCATCTTATCTGAATTCGCCTGGAGAGCATGTGATCTGACGTACATTTCACTATGAGTTACAGCTACTAATATATATTAACATTATTTAATTAAAATGTACTGGACTTGACATCATAGACCAATACATCCCAAGGGAAAATCTTGAATCACATATTTATGAGTGTTTCTTTGAAATGGAGTTCAGTTCTGAGAATGAACAAAGCTCAAGTTGAATCCCCGGTGTGTCACTCGGAAAGCTGAATTTTCTGTTCTGTGAAGGCACGTTACGCATTAGATAAAACCTGCAATGGCTACCTTCCTTAGCTCTGCACAGCTCAGCGAGTGCCACCGGTTGTAATCACACTCCCCCACGCTCAGTTTGAAATGTAAGAAGGGCTGACATTCTGCTGTAGAGGCTGCGTGGTGCCAGATAGGACTGTCTTGGTTCTCCTCCTGCACAGAAGACGTCCTTGCCTCAGTCAATTACACTAGAATGTGGTGAGGGCTATTTTAGTAGCTTTCCTTGTCCCATTATTCACTCTTTGATAAACTAAGAAACAGGAGATATACAACTTGGCATACTATGCAATCAAAAGCATTGTGTCATGAAACAACACTGTTCAGTGCTCCAGTAGTTTAAGTACATTTTGTAATAGGGTAAATGTTGTCAAGGACCAAGTCCTTGGTTAAAACAAATTTTTGAAAAAGATGTTCATGCTTCTAAAGCTCAAGAACATCAACCATTCATTATAGTGTTGAGATGCTCACATGTTTGTTCAAGTTCCTTGACCAAGGGCAGCTCTGGTATGAATAGAATCTAAGTTGGATTAAAAATTGCAGCTACTAAGAAAGTTATATACATTATTTCTAAGTTTACTAAAGTGTAAATTATTCTGATTTAACCATTTAAACAAAGGTGCACAGGTATTGGCAAAAAAAAGAATTGTTCCTAGTTTTATGCTCTACCCTTGCAAATCGTTTATATAAGAAAATTACGTAGACAAATGGTAGCAATAGTGAAGAGTTCTTGAAAATGCTTATTTATGAGGACTTTTTGGATCACATAATAAGCTTCAAATAAAAAGCTGAACTCTCCTTCTGTTTGTTCATTGATCATTCTGACACTTATCATCCAAAACAGGACAAAATTATTTACTTGCCCTGAAATTCTTGTCAAATCAACCTGTTACTATTCTTCATTTGGAGAATAATGATTTACTTATATCTTATTATTCCTCAGGAGTGTCCTGTTGTTACTACACTGTTTTTTGTTAATTTTATGGTCTTACATGTCTTAATCCTCTCCCCTCTCCTCTTCTAAAGGTAACAAGTTCTCATACTACCATGCTGGCCTGTTGGTTGCTGTCATCTGGTGCTACGCTGGAGTGTTTGCTGTAGGTCCGCTCTCCGGGTGGGGAGCTTATGGGCCGGAGCCTTACGGGACAGCATGCTGCATTGACTGGCATGGTCCCAGCCAAAATTCTGCATCTATGAGCTACATAATCTGCCTCTTCTTCTTCTGTTACACTGTACCCTGTACCGTCATCTTTCTGTCCTACACGTTCATCTTGCTGACTGTGCGTGGTTCCCGCCAGGCTGTGCAGCAGCACATGTCACCACAGAACAAGATCACCAATGCACATGCTCTCATTGTTAAGGTAAATGAATAAGCTTACTCTGCAAGATTATTTATAATTAGTCTGCAAATGAAATAATGTTTGCTTAAGGTGTTTTTTTTAGTGTTGTCCTTTTGCTTTGCAGCTTTCAGTGGCAGTTTGCATCGGCTTCCTGACAGCATGGAGCCCATATGCGATAGTCTCCATGTGGGCGACGTTCGGTAACCCTGCAAATGTACCACCCATGGCTTTTGCGCTTGCAGCAATCTTTGCTAAGTCCTCCACCCTTTATAACCCTATTGTCTATTTGGCCTTTAAGCCCAATTTCCGCAAGTCACTGTGCCGAGATGTAGCTCGTTGCAGGAGTACGTTCTGTGGGTGTTTGTGCCAACACGGCTCTGCCCAGAAGGGAATGTGCAAACAATCTCATCACATTGAAGAGTGCAACTCTACAAGGTTGTCCAACGGGCTACCGGAGAACCACGGGACCTGCAAACACTGCCCTTGCACTGAAACGGCCACTGGTGCCAGAAAAAACTTGACAGGTTACAGCCCTCAGCAGACAGCCAGGATACTGAAAGGATCTGGGCACACTGAAGTGACTGTCAGTCAACTCTCTAATGAGTTACAGAGTGACTTCCTTTAGATGAAAAAAATATGAATGGAGCACTAAAGAAAACCAATGACAAAATGGGGAAAATATCAAGATTGATTATTAAACGCTCGATGCAATTAAAGGAAAAGTTTGGGGGGATAATGAAAACAAAAAATAGAGACTATTTGACTAATAATAAACTATTATTCTGATTTAGATTTTTTAACTTGTCTTATGCCTCAAATATGTAATACTGCCAAAAAAAGAACTTAAAAAAAGACCTTATAGTTAAGTAAAGTAACAATACATAATACAACCCAATACTTTTGAGGCACATTCATAGTTCTAACAGGGTATTTTCATACCCTTAAGTATGTACCCTGTAATTACTCGTTTTGTACCTCATAGCTACTGTACTGTATTATATATTGCTACCTTCAATGCCAGCACAAGAGATTAAGGAAGCTAAGCAATCCACAGTGTAGAAATTAAGGTTTGTCAGGTCACATTAAGCATCAGTAACAGTTTGTACCACTTTGAACAGTCAATATGAACCAAACAAGACTGAGAAGTTTCAATGCAAATCAGTAAATGCTGGATTCAGAGGAAGGAATCAGGAATGAAATGTTCTACTTGGTAATACACTCTTTGTGGTTTTTTTTTTTTTTTTTACAATTGCTGTATTTAATGGTATATTTGTATATTTATGCATGCCTCAAGTTGAAGGACAACAGGGTTGCTGTTCTTATTTAACAGGAAATAAGTGTTGTGTTTTAGTGCTAAATGAAAAACAAACTTTTTAAAAGCTCCAGGTATATGTCATAAAGTATTTTGACTGTGTAATGATCTTTATTAACAAGGTTTTTGGGTGAGGGGGCTAAACAAAATAATTCTGAATTAAATGTCAGTTTTACCTGTAATAAATTCAACACACAGCTTGGAGGGCAGCACTGATCAGTCTGCAGAGATGCCTATACTGGCAATGTCTGTTTTGACTAAACCCTTTAAACAAAATTATTCACATGGTTGAATTTACTAGAGGGTCAGGATTTAAAACAATCAGCAAACTATTAATTGAGTTTTTTTCTTTCTTTCTTCCTTTTATTATGTGGTATTTCTATGGAAGCCAAAAATGGTCATGCCTGCAAAAATATAGTTATTTTGTTAACTTTTTGATTAAGCTCTGTTTCCTTATTCAGTATTGATGTCTTGGCAATTGGAAATGATCTACCATATTACTGTTGTTAAGTGATGAATGTTTGTTCATCAGCTTGAATAAGTTACCTGCATAACAATCCTGATTTTTGATTGGAGAAGTACCTCTTTGTGGAGACTTTGAAATGTTTTTTAGCTGTCACAAAAAAAGTGGTATTCTCAGAACAAAATAACAAAATATATTCACCTACTGTCTCAAGTAAACATGCTTTGTTGTTTAAAAAGAATTAGACAAATGGCTTTTTAAAGTGTCATTATACCAGGATGTCACAAAAACATCTCTGAGCATGTCTTCTCTTCAGTTCTATACCTTTCTGAAACAAAAGAGTGGCAGCAAAGGTCAAAGGAAAAAATTACAAGACAGTGGTAAGACCAGCTATGTTGTATGGTCTGGAGACAGTGACATTGACAAAAAGACAGGAGACAGAACTGGAAGTAGCAGGAATGAAGATGTTGAGGTTCTCCTTAGGAGTGACAAAGATGGATAAGATTAGGAAGGAAATCATCAGAGGTACAGCACAGGTTAATCATCTGGGAGATAAACTTAGAGAGACCAGACTGAGATGGTTTGGACATGTCCAGAGGAGGGACAATGGGTATACTGGTAGAAGGATGTTAGAAATGCAGCTGCCAGAAAAAAGACAAAGAGCAAGGCCAAGAGGAGGAATGTGGATGCAGTCAAAGAGGATATGGAAGTAGTTGGAATGAGGACAGAGGTTACAGAGGACAGAATGAGATGGAGGAGGATGACTTAGTGTGGTGACCCCTGAAGAGGGAAAATGTGTCTTTTCATGAATACAGGCAAGCTGCCCTTAGTGCATCACTTGTCTGTTTTTTAAAAAATTGTTTGTAACATAAAAACAATGACCTTTGACTCAACACCAGATAGCTTAACTGCAGTGTTTTCCCCCCAAAACAGGTTTTATTTTTCTTACCTACCAGAACAGTTCATCAAAAGATGTTCCATACAAGGAAAATGAAACCTGTCTGCATGTATAATATGTTGCAATGCATTGCTTTCTAAATTCCTAAATTCCAAGTTCTGAAAAGGGAAACAGGAGTTTGTCCAAAGTCTACCTGACCTCAAATCTGTTAGGTTGTAGATCGTCATAAAACATTTAACCTGATGTTATGCAAAACTGCACTCCTTTAAAACATATATGTCTATATTTAAACCTAACAAAACTAAACTCTGTTGTGGCTTTTAACACAACACTAAGCTTTGGGGTTAGATCCTCAATAGTAAAGAGCTTTCAACTCTATAAATTTTGTGCTAGTTATTTGAAAAATTCAAAGTTCGCTGAACATCAAGAGTTAAATTTACAAAATTTTAAAGAATTTGATAATTAAATTAGTTGCTTTTATAGACTTTAATATTGAATTCTGCCTAACAACATAAATATTTCTATTTTATTTTTGGTCTGCGCTATCACGAGACAGAAATCATGATGCTTCTTACCTTCTTAATTTTAATTTAAACTCTCAGTAAGTACTCTAATGCAGATTATATGAGATCATTGAGTGTTACCATGGTGATGTAAAAAAATAAAAAACTGTTACACCACAAAACACCCTCTGGTGTTTAACCTGGATCAGTTTTAGTCATCAGGTATTTCTACATTTTTTTATTTCAAACGGAGGATAAAGAATTTTCAGCCAAGACAATGTTCAGTATTATTACACATTGTAAAGTGTAGCGTGTTAAATACTAAACAGTGGATTTAACTTTAGTATTAGACTTTTTCTCTCTCTCTCTTACAGTGCTTTTATGCTAACATTCACTACAAGCCCAGTCATTCTGCGACAGCAATACTTAGATTAGAGAACAATACAAAAACTATAGCAAGTAAGTACAAAGTAAGTTTATTTATATTGCACTTCTCGAGATAAAAATCACAAAGTGCTTCAACAAACAAAATAATAAAAGCACAAAAAAAATTAAGCAAAGGCAGATTTAAAAAGATGAGTTTTTAGCTGCCTTTAAAAGAAGCCACTGAGTCCACTGATCTGAGAGTTTGAGGAAGGGAGTTCCAGAGTCTTGGAGCCACAGAAGAAAAGGCTCAGTCTCCTTTAGTTTTCAGTTTTGTCTGGGGGACAATCAGCAGGTCTTGATCACAAGACCTCAAAGCCCTGATCGGGGTGTAGGGATGTAAAAGTTCTGAAATGTCTATTGGCGTCTGTCCATGCAGAGTTTGTCAAGACAAAGCCAAAATCTTGAAATCCACTTCATAATGAACTGGGAGCCAATGAATTTGCATTAGAAATGGAGTTATATAACAAAATTTTGAAGATCCAGTCAGGAGTCTAGCAGCAGCATTCTGTACAGACTGCAATCGGTATAGGGAGGTTTTGGTCAAACCTATACAAAGCATTGCAAAAAAATCTAGGTGAGATGAAACAAATGCATGAATTCTTTCCAATTCTGAACGAGAGACAATATGGTTAAGCTTGGCAATATTTTGCAGATGGTAGAAACAGGCACGAACCAGAGACTTTACATGATTTTCCAGAGTAAAACCTGAGATGAAAATTATCCCAACATTTCTAACTGAAGATTTAGCAAAATAACCAAGAGGCCCAAGGATCTGCTTTATCATTACAGTTGTTTTTTTCTGGTGCAAAGATGATTACTTCAGTTTTCTCTCCCTTTAGCTGGAGAAAACTTTCAGTCATCCAGTTTTTAATAGAATCCAGACAGTTAAGTAAAATGTGCAGTTTCGAAACTTCATTAGGAAGAAAAAAGACATCATCAGTATAACAATGATAAAAAATAACCTTAAAAGATGAACGTATCAGACCAAGAGGAAGCATATAGAGCAGAAACAACAATGGCCCCAAAACAGAGCCTTGTGGAACACCAAAATGAACAGAACAGAAACGGGATCTGTACGCAGATGTAGCCAAGAAGATATATATGGATGACTAATAAAAAGTTATTTTAGTGATCTCTCCATAAAATGATGTCACCTCTTTTCCACAGTAAAACGGTGTCTTGTCTGTATAACATGGACCTTGTTTTCTGCATTAATATTAGACATAAATAATCAGGTGCATCAACTATAAATCTGCAGTGCGTTTGTTTTTTCACCTCCTCCTCATTCAGGTTGTTTTCACAGAGCATGAATGCTTTGTTACTTTGACCTTCTTTGACAATTTTCTCTTACTAAACCCAATTTTGGAGGTATAATTTTGATTAATTAATTATGAAAGTTATCCAAAAAACAAATTATGACAAAAGAATAAATGCGACTGAAAATATGTAGTCCCATGAAGTCAAACAGCATTATTCTTGGAGCGCTCTTCTAATCCCAGCCCAGACTTGTGAAGATCAAGTGTTGATCTTTGGACACTGAGCTGTGAGATGAAATGAAGGAAGCCTCAGGCTGTCTGCAGTCTGACTTTATTTCAGCTGACACATGGAGCTACATGGGAAAACCTTGCTATGAAAAGAAGCCACGTTTGCAGAGATAAACAGGCCTTTTCAACAGACATTCACAATGATGATGGGACAGTGGTGTCATCTTTATCTTTTAGTCTCCTGTACGTTTCAAACAACTTTAACTTTACTGTCTTTATGTAACCTCTTAGATGAAATTAAAATAAGTATTCAAGTTGTGAAAATCCTGGCATGATGGTATATAAAGGCAACAAAGTGGTTTTTCTCTCTCATCTGATGTCCTTTGCCTTGATGGAAGTTACATGCTGACTGGAACTTTTCTGAAATGAGAAAACGATTGTAAAAACCTAAGAAACAGTGAAATGCAAGATGATCGTTGTGCCAGTCACTCAGCAACCAAAGGTTACAGTCATCTGAACAATCACTGTCAAAGCAAAAA